TTCTCCCCCTCCTATAATACACCTATGTAAATAATACACACGGGTATAACACGCACGGCACTCACAGGAAACTAATATGTTGAGAGGGTTTCCAGGTTTACAAAAACACATAAGAATAGGACCCCCTTGCTTGTTTGCTAGCTTTTAAGAGATTCATTCAAAAAGCATCCTGTGCTAATCGGATCTCATCAACATGATAAAGGCAGCCCACTCCCAATTGGGATTACCATCCCCAGGCACAGGGGTTAGGATTGACAATAGAGATTTGGGAGGACACAGTTCTGTCCATGACAGAAATTTCCTGAGAGCCTAAGGCAGGTGGCTGTCTAAGGTCTGGCCAAGTGTTTGGAGGTATAAGACCTCCTGTGCTAACAGATTGACCAGGCTCATTGAAGACTCAGACGGTCGGGGATCCAACCCGAGGTGCCCACGCACCAGCTGCCACCGCAGGGTTTCCTTCCAGTCTGCCTGGAAGCTGTCTGTAGTCTCTGCTGGCTGCAGACATGGCGTGTCGAGGCCCGAGGAGGAACATATGTGGTCGGATCATAGAATCCTGCTCGGTGTTACCACCACGTCCCAATAAAGCCATCCAAGCAGATGCCGCCGCGTGGCTTCCTTCTTCTCCTTCCCGGTGAGGAGGTGCTGCCCAAATGTCATCCTCTGCTGCCTTGATTTAGAAATGGAGTCAGGAGAAAGCGCCGAGGTGAAGGCCACACTGGAAATTGCTTCAAAAAGTCAAGAAGTTCTCAAGAAGCAAGGTTTCCTTTTCAAACATCCCCTTAGAAATGAGAGATGAGCTGGTCAGAGGGGTTAGGTCTTTGTCCGGGTACATAGCAGGGGCCCAGGAGGTGCTCCCAGGTCCAGCCGACCATTACCAGTCTGTGTCCGAGTGGAATTGTATTACACAGGGTTTTCAGGAAATGATCCCCCTGCACGCCCCAACCCCACCCCAAGGCACCTCTGGGTCAAGTACGGTTAACAGCCCAATGTGTAACCACTACACCACCAGGGCTTGCTTTTTAAGAAGTAGGTTGTTTTTGTTATTGTTTGTTTGTTTTTACCGCAAGGCACCCCTGGGTGACCTTGACCCTCTGACCTTCCAGTTGGCAGCCCTGTGTTCACGGTGGGCACCGCCCAGGACTCTGGCAGGTGTGAATGAATATTTCTGAGGATGTCAGACTCAGAGTGGTGTCTTTGTTCAGTGGAAAGAAAGGCCATCTTTGAAATGGAAAGTTTGCCAATCAAGGGAGCCCATGGGCGAGGCAGAAGTGAGAAATGAGGTCAAGAGGAAATGCAGGAGTTACGTGCAAGGAATCCCGATGCCACTAAAGAAAGGCCTTTGAAAGGAAGGGAGGGAGCGGCTGGAGTCAAGGAGCCTGCGGTGCAGCAGGGTCTCTCATCTCCTGGGGACAGGCCGTGGGAGGAGTGGCGGTTTGAAACCGGGCTCTGCGGGAGCAAGCATGCAGACACGCTTTGATGGATTTTCACTGGAAGACGCGAGGGGGCTGTGAGGGTGCAGAGCTGCTTGGCTCAAGATGGATTTCAGTAAAGAAGAGAACAAGCCTTGTCAGGGGAGACTTGGGAGAGCGGGAAGTAGCAAGTGAGCCCATCGCCCACTGCCCTGGAGTCGATGCTGACTCATGGCAGCCCTGCAGAGGGTGCCCAAGGCTGCCGGTCTCTATGGGAGCAGACAGCTTCATCCTTTTCCTGCTGAGCGGGCTGGTGGGTTTGAACAGCTGACCTTGTGGTTAGCAGCCCAATGCTTACCTGACAGACAGTGCCACCAGGGCGCCAGTTAAGAGAATCAATGGTATTGAACAACTCTACAGAGGTGGGGAAGATGCACAGAAATAAAGCTGAGGCAGCATGCCCTGACTACATTCACTACAGCCATGGGGGGGGGGG